TTTCGCCCATTGCGGAAAATTCCCCACTGCTGCCTCCCGTAGGAGTCTGGGCCGTGTCTCAGTCCCAGTGTGGCTGATCATCCTCTCAGATCAGCCACTGATCATTGCCTTGGTAAGCGATTACCTCACCAACTAGCTAATCAGATGCAAGTCTCTCCTAGGGCGGATTCCTCCTTTTACTCCTCAGCTTATGGGGTATTAGCAGCCGTTTCCAGCTGTTATACCCCATCCAAGGGCAAGTCCTTACGCGTTACTCACCCGTCCGCCACTGAATATATTGATTGAAACCGAGCCTTGCACGTGAGAGGCACAGTGGAGGTGGAGTTCAAAGAAGAATGAGAAATTTAATGGTTTCAATCCGCCCTTGTTCTTTCTTTTTATTTTTATTTTTGCATGTTATCACTGTGCCCGTTTTTTGCTTTTATTCTTTGTTCCGCAAAGTGTGCTCTTTTAGTTTGTAGTGATGTGACAATATATGGCGAGCCTTGCACGTGAGAGGCACAGTGGAGGTGGAGTTCAAAGAAGAATGAGAAATTTAATGGTTTCAATCTGCCCTTGTTTTTTCTTTTGTTTTTATTTTTGCATGTTATCACTGTGCCCGTTTTTTGCTTTTATTCTTTGTTCCGCAAAGTGCGCTCTTTTAGTTTGTAGTGATGTGACAATATATATATGACGATATATATATATATATATATATTCTGTTTGTGACGATATATATATATATATATATGTCCTCTTATCTCTCTCTGCCTACGGTTTACCGGGCAGTTCTGTTTGTGACGATATATATCGTCACAAGAATATCAGAGCGCAAATGCGAAAGAAAGAAAAAAAGAAAGAAAAACAAGAAAAAATGAATTCAGTTTTTTATCTTCTTCCTTATTACTCCCCCTGTTCAGAATCTCTTGCGTACAAGGCCACCCAGTGGCGGCTGCCCCCACCCGCATGTGTCATATCTACCCACTTGCACACAGCCAAAAGACAAAGAGGCAAAGAAGAGAGGAAGGGAACAGCCAAATAAAACAGAACAGGGGGCAACAAAACAGATCCCAGATGACAAGTCCACATGCAAGCACCGCCCCTCCATCACAAGCCAAACAACAGGACAAGACCAACCAGGATGTCAAAACCTTGTCTGCAAAGAAATCAAGAAAAGTACCAAAAAGAACCCATCCCGAATGACGATTCCCACGTACAAGCACCGCCCCGCGCTCAAAGGGTCGAACAACGGGAAACAACCAACCAGGATACCAAGACAATAAAAAAAAAAACGGATGACTGGTCCCACATGAAGCACCGCTACCTGCAGCAACATACACCGAATAATGGGACAAAACCAACCGGGATGCAGACAAGATTACCATAACAAATCTACCATATCCATAGTAAAAAAAACCGGAACCATACAGTAGGCCCACAAAACGAAACACCCCAGCAACGGGGAAGAATGAGCAACACAAGAAAATGTGGGATGATAGGACGATGATTCAGGCTATTTTCGATGCAAATGAATTCTTACGTGCATTGTCAAGAAAATCGAGAATACATTCTACCATAACCAAAGAAGAGCCTGCTAGTACAGGCCCGACGCTCGCCGCATCATCTACAAAAGCAGAGAGCTAGCAACGTCAGAGTATATATTGTCACAAGAATATCAGAGCGCAAATGCGAAAGAAAGAAAAACAAGAAAAAATGAATTCAGGTTTTTATCTTCTTCCTTATAACTGCATTCAGACTCGCTCTCATTCACACTTCTCATGCATGCAAACAGGTGCGCAGCCAACTGGCGACAAGCGCCCACTCAAAACTCAGAGATATGGCAACCAAAACGCAGCTCAGATTCAAGTTCACTTCAGATGGCTATGGCGTCACAGCGCCCACGCCACTCTCTGTTCGCACACACAGGATCACCCTGGATATCCCACACGCGATACTCTGTATACACACACACACACACGCTGAACTCTATCTACAGCTGTGGCGGCTATGGCCGCTGCTATCCTATCGCTATGGCTACGCTCCTTCTCTCTCGCCCACTTCGTCTTTGGGCTCACTGCAGACCACCTCGCACAAGTCGCTTGTGGCAGCGCTTCCGCATGGCTCACGCAGGAATGAATGAATGACTGGGCGCTGGCTCTTGATTTATACTTCTGCAGCTCGTTGGTCTGGCCCTTTCCCATGCCCGTAGTGCACACAGTCCCATGCGGTACTTGCTTGACTGGACTAGGACTGACTGGGACTGGGACTGCTGACTCAGCACGGGTAGACTCCACCACTTGCCCACTTGCCTCAGTCTAAACATGGGCAACTTCGAAAGGCCACTACTCGGACCTTCCGGAAGGCCGTAGACTTGGCCTTTCGATACTGTAGCAGCTACGACCTTGATCTTTCTGGACTGTAGCAGCTACGACCTTGACCCTTTGGGAAAGCTACAGCTACGACTTCTAGACCTGACTAAGACTCCTACTCGACAGGTCTACAGATCGAACCCCTACTACCTCTGGACCCTACGACAGTCTACCACTGTTACAAATACACAGGTCACGGGTTCAACTCTAGGGGTCGACAGAGATACTGTACACAGGTAAGGTGGGGACTAGGGATCGAGCCCTGGGAACTGCATCGGCTACTGCGAGCTGGTGAATACCGTTTCACTTCCGCCAGCCTAAATTTGAGGTGCTCCGAGAATAACTTAGTCCAAGGCAGGACCTTTACCTTTCTTATCTCGCTCGTAGGCTCTAACTATATCGGGAGCTGTCTCTAGAAGTTCTGCTCTAGTGAACCAGCGGTCGTCCTCCGATTCCTGATAAGCAAACCGGACCTTATTCTGCTTCTGCGGATGGCCTCTACCCCCTGTTCTGAATACATCTTCACCTACAATGCCGTCAATGTCATATCTTCTGTCCATGTCCGGAGGGATCATGGACCGTCTAGATGGAAACTGTTGACTTGTGACACACGGCAACAACTTTAATGCGTGAAACACAGGGTAGGTGTGGAGGTGTGCTGATATCTCTACTGTGTAGGACGGCCCATCCTCTCCGCCCTTGACTTCTAGAACTGGCCACGGTCCTCTATACGCGGGCAGTAACTTCTGCGAGATGTTCTCCTCAGGAGCAAACTCGTTGGACTTGACCCAGACTAAGTCGCCTACTTGAAACTGTGATGGGCGACGATGCTTATTAGCCTGCTCTATCATCTGGTGCTGGACCTTCCTGAGGTTCTCAACAACAGTGGCTATCTCTTTCTCGTGCTGTATCTCGAACTTACTGGTTCCGGGCGGTAGCCTGTGAATCTGATCCCGATTAAGTCCCTCAAACGGTCTACGTGGTCTAAATGACTTGTGCAACTCATTGGGAGTGCGATAGGTGGACAAATGCACGTTGTTATTGTACGCGTTGGCTACTTTGGGTAACATCTCGTCCTAGTTAATCTGATCAGGTCTAATGTACATGCGTAGAACTTGTTGCAGGACCTTGTTCATCTGCTCTGTCTGACCGTTAGTCTCTGGGTGGCGGCCAAACGACATCAACAACTTAGATCCATAGACTCTCATCAGCTCTTGCCAGTTCTGGCTAGTAAAGCGACTATCTCTATCGCCGACTATAGACAACGGGACTCCATGGTCACTAACCCAAAAGTCAAAAAACTTCTGAATCACTAACTCTGTACGGGCCTCTGCAGGCAAAGGAACAAAAACAACATACTTGCTAAATCTATCGACTATAACCATGACTTGGCTCTTGCCGTGCCTACTCTTGACCTGCGTATCCATAAAGTCAACGGACACAGAATCTCCGGGCTGGTCCTGAATAGGCAAGGGTCTGAGAAGACCTAGAGGGGCACGCGTAGGCAAACTTTACAACTGCGGACATACTCTATGCAGTCGTTCTTCATTCCAGGCCATGTATACACATGCATCGGGTTGGCTAGAGTCTTTTGCCAACCGAAGTGTCCCTCTGTGTCCTAGCATTCCCCTAGAATTAAACTACGGATCCCCTCGCTGTTGGGAACGCACAGACGCTCTACTACATTGGTCTTCTCAAATAGCAACCCCTCTGTAGTGCGGTAATCTGGCTCGGTCTTTGGGGCCTCCTTAACTCTCTTGAGGAGGTCACTATAGATAGGGTCCTGCGCATACGCTTGTCTAACTTTCTCCTGCAGGTCACTCCCTATGTCCAGATAGTGAACGATAGCTCCAAAGTAGTCCGATCTCCTACTCAGAGCATCCGCAAGTACATTATACTTGCCCTTAACTGACTTGAGCTCAAAGTCGTACTGATCTATCTCAGCGGCCTACCTAGTCAACCTAGGTGTCATCTTGGCCTGTGTCTTCAGCCATCGAAGTGTCTCATGGTCTGAATACACCTTGAAGTGCCTCCCAAGCAGGTAATGCTTCCAATGCTCTAAGGCCTGCCTGAGAGCGTAGAGTTCCCTCTCGTATGTCGAGGTAGCAACCTTCTCTGAGGGCATCCTCGCTGACATGAACTCTACGGGTCTATAATCATTGCCGTCGTCCGGTTGTAACACGACACCTATACCATACTGACTGGCGTCCGTGGTGACGACAAATGGCAAGGACTGATCTACAACTTTGAGGACAAGGTACTCTATCAATGCGCGCTTTAATTTCTTTAGCGCAGACGTGCAGTCTTTGTCCCACTGCCAGATTGCCTCTTTCTTGAGTAACCTGCGAAGGGGAGCGGCGATAGTCGAGAAGTTCCTCACGAACTTCCTATAGTAGTTAGCCAGACCTAGGAACGACCGCAACTCAATCAATGTGCGGGGCGTCGGCCAATCTCTAATCGCCGCTATCTTACCGTCCTCCGGCTTGATGCCATCTCCGTCTAACACGTGGCCCAAGTACAAGACTTGTGTCTTGGCCCACTCGCACTTCTTTGCGTTGATCTTGAAGTTAGCATCTCTGAGCTTCTCCAAGACCTGCCTTAAATGACCCTGATGTTCCTGGAGGGTCCTACTGAATACTAAGATATCGTCTAAGTAAACTACGACGAATCTATCCAACCAAGGCCTAAACAAATCATTCATACATCGCTGAAACGTAGCTGGCGCATTGGTCAGTCCAAAGGGCATGACTATGAACTCATAATGCCCATACCTAGTCCGGAATGCAGTCTTGTACTGGTCATCAGGGTGGACCTCTATCTGATGATATCCGAACTTTAAATCTATCTTTGAAAAATACTTGCAACCCTGCACCCGATCTAAGAGATCGTCTATCTTGGGCAGTGGTTCAACATTCTTAACCGTGATAGGATTCAGACCCCTATAGTCTATACACATACACAACTCTCCTTCCTTCTTGGGGACAAACAAAACTGGTGCTCCAAAAGGAGACGAACTGGGCCTAATCCAACCTTTCTCAAGGAGCTCATCCAATTGCTTGCGGAACTCCTCTAACACTCTGGGGGACATCGTGTAACTGCTCCCTTAGGAGTCTTACGACCAGGCTCTATCTCTATTCTGTGCTGTGTTGGATCGACCACGACACTACTCCTGTTGGCGGCTCTGTCAGGTCCTTAAACTTCTCCAGCAACTTGGCAATGGTTGGATCAATGGGACTATCCCCTTCCTTAGGCTCAGTGACAGGTCTGACATACACTACGAAAACCTGATCTTCTAATTGCTCCTTCCTCATTAGTCGCGCGAACGCGGGAGCACTGAGACAACAATGCGCCAGTGAGTTATCTACTCTTGACACATGAAACAGGCGGGCAGTCTTAACCTCGCCAGACGGACTAGGGAGCCTACACTCATGCTCTCTCAAGTGGAGTGTGGCCCCTGATGCCTCTCCCCAGTCCATACCTAGGACTATATCGAAAGGAAGGTCATCATGTACGAGGAGAGTCAGGGAGTGGAGAACTTTCTCCACCTTCCCATCTTTCTCTAGGCGGAAGTACGCCTGGACTCGCTCTACGTAGTCCTCAACACGCATAGTGCGGTTGTCTGCGAGGACACTAACTATGGGGTCTTCTAACTTTTGGACTTTCAGTCCTAGCCTCAACTTCTTCGGCGCTTTGCGGCTAATATAACTACGGGTAGCCCCTGAGTCTATAAGGGCCCCAACTCTGCTCCTAAAGACTTCTACATCAACTAACACTAGCTGCCCTTTACTATCTTTCTTCATTTTGGCCCAGGCTGGTATCCTCTCCTTCAGTTCTTCTGTCACACCTGTGAGGGAAGTGCCTAGAGAGACGCTAACACAAGCAGTCTCTCGACAGGTAACTAGGCACGGGCCTGCAACCTCTGCCGAAGGCACATGCGGTGTGGGAGTTTCCTGTACGCGCGCGCTCGCTTCCCCACATGGCCTAATAGTAGAGGCAGTTGCAACCTCTACCGGCGACTGCCTTTTGACTCCTGGGCAACCCATCGGGCCTGTCTATACTTAGGACAATATTTTATAATATGGGCAGGGTCACCACAGTAAATGCACTGCCCCTGCTCCATGCGTTGTTGCCACAGTTTCTGATCCAGGCCCAGATCTTCCCAGGGACGGCCTTGTGGCCAGCCCAGGTGCCAACCTCCTGACCTTTGAGGTGACCTACCACCTCGTCGCTGTGGGGACCGATTGGGACCTTGACGATTTGGCGGGGGACCTTGACCCCTACCTCCCACTTGACGGTTCCCTTGACCGCCAACCCCCTGTGCGCTTGATCCTCGGCCTCCCATGGCCTGGCCCCTTTGGCCCTGGCCTCCTCCTCTACCTTGAGGCCTCCCTCCAGCCGCGACAGCAGCATAGGACCTCCCCTGACCTATGCGACTGTCCTCCGCCTCAAGTCCCCACTCAATCTGACTGTAGGGGACCTCGTCTGTACCACCCTCGTCTAAGGTGAGGATCAGATGATCCTTGGCCCTAACCTGGCCAAAGATGGTATGACCTTTCCACTTCTTGCCTTTATCCAAGTCCTTGTGCCAGAAAGTGGAGACTGGCATGGACTTTGCCTCGAAGAAGACCACTTCCCTACTCAACGCGTCATATGTGATGTTGGGCTGTTGGGTCTTGTCAAAGAAGTGCCCTCGCAAGGGCTCTGGCATGGCACGGTAAAGCAGCTGGACCAACTGGGTCTCAGTGAATGGTCCGGGACGGCTACCAAGTCGTCCATGACAGCTTTGAGTGCTCGCGCACTCCTCCACTGTCGCGAATGGATGGTTTGAAGTTTATCAGAGGCCCTGACGCCTCTCGTGACGTCAGCGAACCTCTCACGCAGGAGTTTGAGAAAAGTGGAGAGAGGGGTGAGTCTATAATACGCAATCATGTTATGCTCACAATCGGCAGTGCGCGCGAGGGACCTGGCGAAGCTGGCCGCTTCGTCCTTCAATGCATGAAAGGCGACGAGGACTTGCTCCTCGGGCGCAATATGTTGCAAGTACACATAAGTATTGAGACTGGCTTCCCATTTGTCAAAACTTTCGTCCTTCTTCCCGCTATAGGCATCAAGAAATTTGAGCTTTACGGGCTCTTTGCGGGGATGTACTGCAGCCTCTGTTGTGGCCACTACTTTGGCACCCTCAATGGCGCCGACACAAAACTTCTCTGCGCCTTCCTTTAGCTTCTTGACTTCGGCCCCGACGTGGGTCACCACGTCGCGCGCAAACTCTCTAAACCCAGACCGAATGGCATGCAGGGTCACATCGTGACCCTTGTTGGCCTGATGCTCCTCGAGCTAGGCCTCACTCAGGACCTCCAGGTACCCTATAATCTTATCTAATTTCGCGGGAACCTCTGTTTGTGCCTGCATTTCCGGTCTGCATGCCCGGACTCGTTCCACCTCTCTAGCCACTCGGTTGGCTTCCTCCCTCCTTCTCTTCTTCTCCCTCATCATTCGCAATTTCCACTCCAACTTCTTCTCATCCTCTGTTGTCTGACGTTCCAGGGGATCCTCTATCGTTTCTAATACCCTGGCAAACGCTTCTCTCTCCTCCTGCGACACGTACAATAGTGCCTCCTCATCCTCTCCCAACGAAAAGTTAGCCACCCACTCGCTGATCTTCCTGTCCATCCACGCGTCTTCCCCCTTCGTGCCACTTGCTTCTCCTCTTTCTTCCCTTCGCCTCCTTTCAAGGGGTTCTTCCTCTTCTTCCTCCTCTTCTTCTGCCGCTGCTTCTTCCTCGGCAACCTTTCTCTTCTCTTCTTCCTCCCGCTCTAACATCATCATCTTCTCCTTCTGGAATCTCAACATCTCCTCTTCTAACTTCTTCTTCTTCGTCACCTTCTCCTCTGCTATAGCCTTTACCTTCGCCTGCTTGAGGAGCTCTTTCTTCTCTTTCCTCTCCCTCAGGATGGCGGCAATCCGGGCCTGCTTGGCCTCGGATTGGGGGACAGTACTCTTCCCACTACGGGTGTCAACCATGGTGATAGGTGCACAACCAGACAACGGTTCCACTCCTCACCACTTAGACGCTACTCCCCCTAACTGACAAGTCTACTGACTCAATCTAAAGACTTACAGAATCCGGACAGGATCCTGTCAACTAGGATCTCTAGCCTAGACCTACTCTAAGGCTGTCACTACAAGACCTATTGCTGATCAGGAGGCATTTAAGGAGATCCCCCGTAACTCGTCAGAAATTATTTAACGTTGCAGACAGGACGACGCAATCAGCAGGTCTTCTCAACACTTAGACGGCCTGTTGTGCAGCCCACAACTCGGATTTTGGGCCTACCGTGCCACATCAAGCAGCCCGGCGGTCAGTACCGGTCCTTGGGAGGGTTCGTGTCCTCCGGGACAGTCAAGACGTCAAACACAATCTTTAGCCCTACTCAGCCCGTGTGGGTTTGGTCAACAAGGCCCTATCCTTCATCCACAGAGTTCCTAACACCTGGACAAAAGATATTCAATGCAGAAAGAAGAGACAAACAGACTTAACTCAGCAAGTACCACAGGGTGTGTGCACATCCATAGGGCGAGGGGATAGGCTGAAGGCTTGGCGAGATTATACCGGCTCCAGCTTGGTCAAACTCATGGTCAACAACCTTGGTCAACGCTTGGTCACGCTGCAGTCAACCCCCTGTCAACTCCTGGTCAACGCCTGTCAACCCCGGTCAACACCTGGTCAATGCTGGTCAACGCCCGGTCAACTCTCCCGGTCAACGTCCAGTCAGCTATGGCTGTCGGCTTCTCCTTCCTCACCACCCTTCTCCTTCCTTCTCTCTACCTCGCCTCTTTCTTCTTCACCCTGACTGTCTTCTTTCTCTTTTTTTTTTTT